CAAACTCCAACTCCTTCCACAGTCTTAGTACCACGATGAAGAGAAACAACGTTGGAGAAGTCTTACTGGCATTGATTGTGTTCATATTTTGTGAGAGAGCACTTTGGAAAACACAATACTATTTCTACTGGTTGGCCAGATTTTCTCTGAGAGGAAAACTGAGGATGCCTCCTGCAGCTAAACGGCAAACTCCAACTCCTTCCACAGTCTTAGTACCGTGATGAAGCCAAACAACGTTGGAGAAACAACCTTACTCAGGAGAAGTCTTACTGACATTGATTGTGTTCATATTAATGTGCTGCTCGAAAGCAGCAGTGAAACTGTGAAGTGCAATTTCCCACCCTTATGTCCCAGCCATGGGTTTGTTCAGTCTGCAGGGTGGCTTTGGGGTGGGCGAATTAAACTCACTTCTGAGGAAATCAGAGCACTGGCCGTACTCCAGGTTCACAGCAAAAGTGCTCCAGGCCCTTCATGGGAACAGAAGGATTCAAACCAACAACGTGCCTTTGAAACAGCTTTGGATCATGGGTAGTTGGTTAAAGGGATTAGATTTATTTTGAAGTAAAGACTCCAAAACACAGATAACGTAGACATAGCAGCTTCGCTACCAAACTCTGTGGGTTCCTCATTTGTTCTTACTACTCCATACTACTCACTAACATAAGCACAGTCATCATCTGCAGTTGAAAGAGACAGCAGATACAAAATTCAGTAATAATTGTGATAAAGGCTCTTTCTCTAATGCCTTAGCTCAGTATGCAGCATATCAAAAAGTTTTTGATATTTTGCATGACTATACAACACTGCATGGTTCCAAATAATTCTTTCTTTACAAACAAGAAGGCCCAACTGAATGCAGAATTTATCATTTGAAAACATATGGTTTCTTCTCATCCCAAAACTGTTCATGCTACATGCATCTGTAAGTACATAAGGCACTATTACCATCATATTTACCAAATAAAAACCTAAAAGGATTAAAGTGTCAGACCAAACCACACAAGTATAATGGTGACAGTCTCCCCTGAAATGACAAACACCTTTAAGGACAGAATGGAACCACTTGACAGTAGTAGCTGAAGGCACTGGGTATGCTTGGTATTTTAAATCATGTGAAAACTTAAACTGACTCCCTACCTATATATATATATTATATTCAAACCTGGTTTGAATTACCATTGGCCCTTGAATGTATCCTTGAATGTACCCAGCCTTCCAGCACGAGAATCTCAAGGCCAGTTACATGCACCTGCAGCTTTCCTTTGCCCCCCACTCCGTTCTAGTCCCACCACTCCTGACCAAAGGGAAGATCTCCTCCTCCTCCTCCCCTTGTGCCAGCCTCCAGCATCAGCAGAGCAGCAGAGCTATGGACTGGCACTTCTTAGTGGATACTAAGAGATTACTTCCCAGATACAGAGGCAGATGAAACACTCCTGAAGTGAGCGGCATTTTCTGTTCTCCATTTTTCCTTCCAGGGACACATGAGCGTGGGTACTATTTTAATGAGTCAAAAGACTCCCAGGGCCAAAGCCCAGCACAGACCTGGGTGCACAGTACAAAGGAAATGTTGCCGACAGCTTAAACCAATCTATAGCCATAATCCCATCCACTGTACACGTTCTAGGCAGGCAATATCTCAGAGTATTCTTAGGAAGTTAGGGGTTTTTTGAGGAAAAAAATAAGAGCTCACTTTTTGGCACTTGTAAATGAATTTCAATTTCTGTAAGCAGTTTACCAGGCAACTTATCAAAAAGTGGGTGAAGTGCCTCTTACCAGAGAGCGATATTCCACCTATATATAGGAAATACATATAGTATGAAAAATTCATGTTATTTTAGTCAGTGGATACAATCTGTTTTCCTGAAAACATCAAGACACTAATTAATATGTAACTGAAATACTTCATGTCTAGCTACACATTCAAGATCCACCTGAGCAACACAAATAATATATGCTTGGCATGTTTCAAAGGACTGAGGTGTGGGGCAAGGGGAACAAAACCCAACACTCAAGATGCATCCCTTTTGTGAATGACTTCACATGCTGCTAGAACAGTATATGCAACTTAGGCTTCAATTGTATATAAAGTGACATATTTTTAAAATTTTAATCATTTACTCCATCACATTATTCATAGATGCAACTTCTTCCTCATTCATTGAGGACATTAGCACTGATATTGTGCTCTGGGGAATTCTTTGTTTCTGCTGCGGTTGTGTCATCTACACATCTCCATTCTTTTTATTTACAATCTCTTCTCATTCTGACAATTGTAAGGTATAGAATCCTCAGCAATAGGTAAAAGAAACTTGTGAATTCCAAGCACACAATCAAGCCAGTGACTCCATGATTTGAACGATCAGAGATTAAATACATGGTTATTTGAAGGAAAACATTGTGAAATGTTTTAACTCGTTCTAATGATAGAGGAGTTCATACAATACTACAAGTCAGTATTTAAAAAATGTACATAATCTCTTTGGAAACTGGTATTTTTAAAACATTTAACTTAAACTGAGTGTTACTGGAGAAAGCAAACGTATTTATATAAACTTTGTTACTAGCTTTGGAGTTTACAAGAATAAGACCAACATAAAACTGGCCAAGCCTTTTACCTGCAGATGAGCTCCAATAAATATGGCAAAAATTGTAAATGAATCAAAATAATTGATTTTAGGCTCCATCCAGATCCTAAAATTAATTTATGCTTTTACATGACAGTTGTTCCTCTATGCCATTTATCAGATGTGTGTATTAAAGTGCATTAAATAAGTGTGTATTAAAGTGAAATAAACCCTTGCCTAGCAGTTGCATCTGTACAGTAGTATGCAATTGCTGGTAATTTCTGATTTTTGAAAAAGATACATATCTGGAACAACTTTTTTCACTTCATTGGATATAAAAAGTGACTCATGATTAGTAAATTTTCCCACCTAAAATTTTTCTGCAGAAAGCCAAACATCATCCTAGTCAGCAACATGACTTCTAACAAAACAAATTAATAAAATGCAGCACCTTTTAAAGCAACTAATGAAAGATGTTTGTAACCAGAGCTTCATACCTTTCTTAGGAGATAGCAGAACTACATCTGGATTTCATCCTAACCAACTGACATGAAGGTTAATCAACTTCTCATTTCATTTATTTCATTTTTTAAACAAATCACAGTTTTACCCTTCCCTCAACTGGAAAGTTAAAAGCACATTCCCCATAAAAAGTTTATTTTGTCTGGTGAAAATGTATACAGGAGACTGCCAGCATTCCCTAGTGATCTTTCAGATAAAAGTCTGGTAAGGTTGGAAGAGGGACTAGACAAAAACGCACAAGGTAAAAAAAAAATTACAAATTTAGTTTGACAAATCACCAAAATTATTTCACCGAATTACAAGCTCAGAAATTCTTGGTCATACACAGAAATGTGACTAAATAATCCTTAAAAAAACATCACATAAACTAGAAATTGTATGAAACAGTGAAGAGGACAAGCAGATGTTGCTATTGTACAAAAGCCTGCTGTACGCATAACGCGTGTTCTGCACATTCAAGATACACATTTTCAATAGGCTTTCATGAATGCCTCTCACTCTGCCATCACACTTAAAGGTCCATTTTTAAAGTGATTACTTTTCCTGAATATGAGTCAGGTCAAAGAGAATCCTTCCTACAGCGCTTTCTAGAGACTTTAGAAATGGCAAGAATAGAGATCATAAATCAAAACCCTTCACAGATTGGTGACATGCTCACACTCACTAAGATGGCTACTGATCGAAGGAAAGCAATATACTTTCCACCTTGCTCAGGTTATATCAAATTAAGATTACTACAGTGCCCCTTAGCTGGGAAGAGCAATTTCTTACTTCTAGCAACTGATTATTTTTTTGTTTTTAAAACAAAAGGTTCTGAAAGTACTCATAAAATGAGCAGCAGTGACAAAAGCGGCAGTCTATGCCAAACCACTTTTAATAATGTGAGTTAAAAATCAAAGCAAAGATACTAACAGAACATTGTTAAAATCTTGATTTGCTTTTGTACAAGATGCTGAAAATTTTTAAATTAAAAAAGAAGAAAAACTTGGGACAGATATGAGAGTTTGAGACAAATACAAAGGTCTAAAAAACGCAACCAAATCACTTCCTAAAGATTTCCATTCGATGTGTTGTTAAGACTTTATCTTAGTGAAGCTTACGTTAAACCAAAGAGTAAAATAACAGTCCAGGAAATAGGATGGACACCAGCTATTTAATCTGGATACCACCGATACACATGGTTATAAAATCTACCTGAAGCTATGTACTTCCCTGCTTTTTCCTTGCCTCTAAAGTTATGTTCTTTCTATAAACAGTTCCCATGAATTTCAATAAATTAATTTGATGACAAAATCCAACCAAACACATTTATCTTTGAGACAAAACTCTCATTTCCTGCTCTGCATACATACTATATTCTTTCAAATTCACGTTGTTGTACACTTTATTGCTTCTAATCTCATTGAACTACTTTGTTACAATATTTTTAACACAGCCACTTAGAATTTCCATTTCTTACAATGGAAGCTCTACACACTCTCAGAATAGCATTTGACACAGGATATTGAATATGTCATTGAGTGAGACCAGCATACAGTCTTTCTGGAAATATCTGTCTGAGGTGTAGCAGGAAGACAAATTCAATCTGATCCATTGCCTGCTAATGACATTTCCTTTAGTTCTTGAAAACAGTAGGCATATACACAAAAGCAACATTCAAATAATAAAGCTCCACAGGTCAGAGACCTCAGTAATATTATCATTCCAAAATGATCTGAATATCTTATTATCTCAATAACTTGCTGTGTCAGGCAAATGGCTTAACGCTATTAGCCTAATTCTATAAATTTACTTCAAGTCCGTAATTTTTCCAAGCTACAGCTTAAAACAAAATGCACTATACACAAGGTTCCACGCTGACTCACTCAATGAATGTCTACGCCGGCACATAAATGATTCTCTTTTCTTCCTTACCTCCAGATGCTCTAAAATATAGGGAGGGTTTGTCATGCCAAGCCTCAGCATAGCTCCCTCAGGAATAACTTCAACCAGCTTCCACAGAAGCGTAGGGAGATCTGTGCCAATGTCTCTGCCATAAGCCCCTGTGTCTTCACTGGTCAGCCATATCTCACAAACACCCTCTGTGAATAAAAGAAAGAGATAATTAACAAATCTGTTTTAGAGCTGTTTATTTTATCATACAGCTGCTCACTCTTTTTAATGCAGTATTTCACAAGGCTATTATGCAGCCAGACTGGGTATTCAATTGCAAGGGGGAGGGAAGGAGAAGGAAGGCTTATCCCATGGGTAGCAGTGGGTTATTAAGTTCATTTTATGAGCACAAGAGTGCTACAACAATGCTCTAAATTATCATTGCTGTGGAGTGATTAACATTCACAGCCAATGACTAATTCTGTGCTGCCTCTACAGCAAGTCAGTCAAGTCTAGTACTCTGCTCTATTTTTTGAGCCTAATTCATTAAACACAAGTGACATTACCCAAGCAAAGAGTTTGCATTAATGGTTGCTACTAGTAGTTAACTTATTAACTGGTAAGCTTCCAATAAGAAAAAACAGCTCTAAAGCAGGATGCTTAACATTCTTCCTGGAATAACTATTAATAACCCGTATTCTTTAAATTATACAATTAGCAATGCAATATTAAGGTTGTATTGAAAAGGTTAGTGACCAGTGCATGACGCAGTGATAGTGTAGGAAAGCCTGTTTCCTGGCAGTTAATACTTTATTTTCCATCAATCAGGGCCTTAGGAAGTAGTATATTTGATTTATGTTGTAAAGAGAGGTGACCTTGAACACTGATATTTGGCAATAATATCCTTGTGCTCAAAGAGGGGAAAGATTGCACCACCCTTAATAGCTGAAAGCAATGAGGTTTCATGAAACCACTTCTATCAGTGCCCAGCTTCCAGCCTTTTTGCAATGCAATCCACCTCCCCCTCCTCACCACCCCAAAGCAAGAAATAAACCATTGAAAACCAGGTGGCTGGGAGGAAGACTCCTGTGATTCCCAGTGAGATGAGATAGCATTAACTCAGAGAAGAGTTAAATTTCTAATACTGATGATGGACCAGTAAAGAAAACAGCCAAACACTAGGAAGTGCATACTACATCAAAGCGTTCTTTGGACCAGCAGAGAAGGTATCACAAAATGTAAATGTCTATATTACAAATAGATACTTAGGATGAGGAAAACATAAACATGCACACAGACTTTAATCACATAGAAAGTAATAAAACTAAAAAACCAAAAGTTTTATAAAAATGTACGCTCAAGACTGCCACTCAAACTCACTCTATAACAGTAACAGTGAACAGCAGGCTGTGCCGAGCATCAAAGATAATGCTGTTTGTTCAGAAAGATTTTCAAGGCCATTTATTATATAGAACAAACAATATTTAAAATCTAAAGGTAAACCAAGAAATTCATAACTTCTTTAGTTTTGCTTCAAGAATAATTTAGCTAGTGAGGTGTATAATTTTGTTCTTGTAAGAAGTCTGGTAGGAAGTACTCCTGAAGTTCTGCTCCTTGGTTATCCAGCTCGTGGACACACTCAAACAGAGGTCCCCCTGTGCCCGATCAGGTGCACACAATCTTCCAGCAGTATCTAGCACCATCACACCTCAGATTCTACTGCAGTTGCTAATGTTGTCAGAATTCACCTCATCACAGGCAGTACCACACCATGAAACATACTCTGGGGTTTGCTGCCTGTGCTACGCTTTCCTGAGATGAGGAAAAAAGAAGCGAATTATATATGTCACATTTTAAAAATAAGAGAATCATAAAGGATCTAAATGTCAGGTAATGCCCTGTTGTTTTTTTCATATCGGTCTCCAATAGCCATTAGAACACTGCAAAACACAGTCATTTACTTGCTGAGTTTCTACTGAAACAGCAATTCTCATTTTAACATGTAAATAGCTGCATAGGTTTTGGTGGGGGTTTTTTGTATTCAGTGGTTCTAGTTCTTTTTTTTTTCTTTTTTCTTTTTTCTTTTTTTTTTTTT